CCGCCCCGCGGTAGAGCGCCCCCATGTGCTGCACCTGCGTGGCGGCGCTCGCCGAGGTCCCTGCTGGTTGATGCAGAGGGCGTCGATCCACATGGTGCGCGGCGCCGCCGGGCCGCGCAGGTGCAGCAGCGCCTCGTGGAGGTTGCGCGACACAGTGAGCGTCGCGCCGCCGTCGACGGTCACGGGGAACGTCTCGGCGGGCGAACCCCAGACGTACGAGAGGGCTTCATAGGCCGGGAGCGTGGCGGCGTCGTCGAGCGAGTGCGCGTGCAGGTGGAGACAGAGCGCGTCGGTCGGCGTGCCGGGCGGAGCGTGACGAGCCGGATCGTCCTGTCATCGACGGCGGAGTACTGATACGTGGCCATCGGCTGTCGATCGGGCGTCCGAGGTGATGCTCATGCTTGCACGTGTGAACCATGCTGCCGGGAGCTGGGAGTCATTCCCTGCGTATTGACGTACGGGAAATCAGTGATACGCCTACTCTGCAGCTGGTCAGACTATGATTGGCGGAATGCCGACCTGAGAAAGATAGCCTGGTCGAGCAGCGAGCGTTGGCACTGCATCGTGTCTTCTGCAATGTGAACACAAAGTCAACGGGTAGAGCGACAACACCGAAAACTTGCACAGTACCCACGCGCAAGTCATGCAGCCCGGTTTGAACAATGCTTCCCTCCCGCACCGCAGATGACTCTACACTGTGGATTAAAATCTTATGCTCTCTACCGTCCTCACACTTGATCCAGTCTATAGTGCCGCGCTTTTCATCCATCATGAGCTTTGTACAGGTCTACCGCCCGGATTATGAACAGGCCACAGCCACGCGGAGCCGTGCCGTACAGTGTAAGAGAACAAGAGAGCGAGGGAAACAAAACCCCAAGTCTCTCGGCAAATGAAAAATTCCCCTGCCAACGCCGCCCGGTGCTTTGTGCGATCCAAGAAAACAAAAGAAAGAAAAACAGACAAGAGACGAGCGATGCACTCTCGCGCGTCTCTACACCCCTCGCAGGCCGCTCTGGCTGCGCGCGTGCCCGGAAGTAGTCATCTTTCTGGGGTCCGAGTCGCCAGGGCTTAGGTCGGCCTCGACCTGAGGGAGGTTGCTATACCCCCTCGGTCCCGTCGCCGAGCGCGCCGGTGCTGGGTACCGGCGTGGGCTCATGCGGAAGCTGTCGACGCTGCGAACGCGGCCCCCGCCGACGCTGTTGTTGCTGTAGCTGGGCGCCGGCGCGCCCATGCCCATGCCCATGCCCATGCCCGCCGCGTCCTGCACGAGTGCCGTGTTGCTGCCGTTGCCGTTGGCGTTGGCGTACAGCGGGCTGCGCGAGCGGTCGTAGCACATGCCCTGCGGGAATCCCGGGCCGGGCGAGGCGCGGCCGCCGTTGGGCGAGTGGTAGCCTGCTGCCGCCGTGTTGAACTCGTGGGTCGGCGCGCGGTGGAGGGGCCGGTTGAAGCCCGTCATGCCGCCGGCCATGGCGTTCATCGTGGGCGTGCCGGGGCGCGAGTAGTCGGACTCGCCGCCGTGGGAACCGGGGGTGCCGGGCCTCATCCTGTCGGCGTCGGCGCCAAAGAGGTCGCCTTGGCCGTGCTCGTCGGCGAATTCCGGCCGGTTCTTGTAGAATTCGAAATCCATGTGCGAGTCCGAGACGAACTCGAAGCCGGGCACGTTGGTGTTCATCTGCTTGCCGGGCTTGCCGGCGTTCATGGGGTCCAGCGCAAACGTGTCCGAGTAGCCAGGAGACGGACATGCCGTCCATGGCGCCGGCCTCGCGCCCGTCGGACAGACGGCCCTTGTACACAATGTGGAGCGTCGCCTGGGCCTTCTGGTGCACCATGGGCGTGATGAGGGGCTTGTACAGGGCCGGGTGGCCGAAGCGCGACGCGAGCCTCTCGCTGCGCAGACGCTGTTCCTTCTGGAGGCCGCTCTCGGGGTGCTTGGCGACGTTGAGGGTCGAGTAGTAGCCGGATCTTGTCGTCGAACTGGCGGGAGGAGACGAACTTGAAGAGGGAGCATGAGAAACGGCAGAGGAACGATGGCGAGGGCGTGGGTGTGGTGGGCGCCCTCGCCACGAACCCAGCAGGTCAGGAAGAAGACGAGGTCGGCGAGCATGGTGGCGAAGATGACGCGGTTGAAGACGACGCGCCAGAACATGCCGCCCGACTCGGTCTTGGTGACGAAGACGTAGAGCAGGAGGTAGCGCTTCAGCCAGACGTCGATGGCGAAATACAGGGCCACGGCCGGCAGGGTGATGGGCTGGATGCCGGCGAAGCACAGAGCAATGGTCGAGTAGTAGAGGAAGTAGTTGTAGTAGGGGGCGTAGTCGAAGGCCGGGGGCGCCGTGAGCTCGATGAGGTCGCGCGGCGTGGGGCTCGAGAACTTGCGGGCGAAGAAGCTGTAGATCAGGGGCCAGAACTGGGCCAGGTCGATGGCGGCACCGAGCTGGCGCTGGAGGAGCCAGTTGACCCAGAAGGGGCTGACGGTGCAGAGGGCGAGGAACAGGGTGTCGGCGATGTTCTCCTCGAGGATGGCGTCCCAGGCGTCGGCGCCGTGGCCGGTCCTGTTGATGACGCCGGCGATGAAGGTCCAGGTGGCGCTGAACAGGGAGAAGACGACCAGGTTGTTGAAGACGAAGAAGGCGTACAGCTTGGCGACGACGTGGCGCTCGCGACCGCTCTTGGTCTGGTCGCCGGCCTTGATCGACAGGCGACGGAAGATGATGGGCAGCACGAGGAAGACGAGCGAGGTGATGGCCGGCGCGGCGATGCCCTGGACGAAGGCCCCAGAAAGGTCTTGTTCTCGACGAGCTCGGTCTGGAACTCGCGCCAGACGCGGCCCAGGTTGTTGAGGTTGACGAGGAAGACGGCGATCATGGCGTTGGGGCCGATCCAGATGAAGGTGAGCAGGGTGATCCACAGGTTGTTGATGACGCGCCTCCAGCGGCGCGTGGACGCCGACAGCGGCAGGTTGTTCCAGATGATGTCGTTGGGCCGCGGGGCCAGCTTGATGGTCGAGCCGCGGGGGTGCTTCTTGCGGCAGGCGTAGGCGATGTTGTGGGCCTCGGTGATGTCGGAGTAGCTGGCGAAGCCGTAGGGCATGGAGCTGCGCTTGTCGACGCTCTGGCGGACCTGCTTGATCTCGACCTCGAGCGTCTTGATGCGCTGCGTCAGGTACTCAATGGCGTCGACCTTTTGTCCCTTGGGGTAGGTGCTGAACGAGGGGTCCTTCTTCGAGGGCTTGCAGAGCGGCCTGTTGGGCGGCAGCTGGGCCGGGTTCTTCATGTACTTGGCGAGGACGGACTCGAGCTTGCGCACGGTGTGGTCGTGCTGGGCGATGAGCTTGGGCAGATCCTTGACGTTGCGGGCGACGGCGGTGCGGGAGAAGGAGGAGCTGGGAACGACCTCGTCGATGATGCGGGCGATGCCCTCGTCGGAGCTGCGGTCCTTGGGAAGATCGTAGAGCTGTCATGGTGGTCAGCAGGCATCTGGGCGGGGGTGGCAGGCCACGACGGCGAAGGTCGAAAAAAAAAAGCCAAAAAAAACTCACCATCAGCGTCCTCGCGTGCAGGCTGTTCTGGTACTCGTCGCTCTCGAAGTAGCGACGGCGCAGGTGCAGGACCTTTTTCGTGTTCCACCACAAGAAGAACATGACAATGGCGTTGATGCCGTAGGCGACGGTGACCTGGGCCCACTGGGCGTCGCCCCAGACGTTCGAGGGCGTCAGCATGGCCAGCCAGGCGCGGCCCTCGCCCGAGACGTCGACCTGGGTGAGGTTGACGGGGATCAGGATGGCGAGCACAAAGACGGTCAGGGTGACGAAGAGGTTCCGCAGCATCTCGACGAAGCGCATGAAGATGGCGGCGTCCATGCCGGCGTACTGGATGAACTCGTACTCGGTGGTGCTCCACAGGGGGAAGACCCAGGACCAGAGCTTGCGGCCGATGGGCGGCGGGGCGTGCTTCTCGTCGGCATGCTTGGTCTTGGGGGCGTAGACGGACTGGTTGTAGGGTCGCAGGAAGGAGAAGGCAATTGCGATGCCGAGCGTGAACAGGACCGAGGTACCGAGGGCAGCGAAGAAGGAGGTTTGTTGGAGCTGTCGAGGGTCAGAA